TTCATCCCAAAGCTTCAAGGTGTTCATCGCATTCTTCACCAAAGTATCAACTCGGCCCTCTTCGATCAAAAAGTCAAAGGGACATGCCGTCAAAATTGTTATGGAGCACCAAATCCACCTCTTCAAAGATCAAGGTCTCAGATCATCTAAAAAAGACATCAAATCCAAAGCAAACGATCAGATCGCCCACACAGAGACCAAAGTCCTCTAAAAGGCGGCATAGCCAAATAAAAGATCAAAGCCTCGGATCGTCCAAAGAAGACACGAAATCCAAAGCTGATGATCAATTTGCCAACATGGAGACCAAAGCCCTTCAAAAGGCGGCAAAGTCAAATTAAAGATCAAAGCCTCGGATCGTCCAAAGGAGATACCAAATCCAAAGCTGACGATCGAATCGCCCACACGGAGACCAAAGCTCTCCAAAAGGCGGCAAAACCAAATCAAAGGTCAAAGCCTCGGTTCGTCCAAAGAAGACACCAAATCCAAAGCTGATGATCAAATCGCTTATACGGAGACCAAAGCTCTCCAGAAGGCAGCAAAGCTAAATAAAAGATCAAAGCCTCGGATAATCCAAAGAGGACATCAAATCCAAAGCCGATGATCAAATCGCCTGCACGGAGACCAAAGCTCTCCAAAGTTCAGAAAAATCAAACCGAAGACCAAATCTCTTCGGATCAAATAAGCCATAGAAAACTAAGTTGGAAAACAAATCGACCCGGAAGGGGAATCAAATGACCCATTTAGAGAATAGGACCCACTTTAAATTCAAATCAAATATAATTTGTACAATTTTGTGTATATTAAAAATAATACAATTTTTTGTCTACAGTTGCTTTTTCAAACGTTGGGATTATTGGTTAGATACATGTAGTTCGACCAAAATGACAAAGTTTTTAGGTTTATTTTTTTATCTTTGTTTTTTTAAAATATGTGGTTTTTGTTGCTTGATTTAATGATGATCAAGCATGTTTATATGTATTTTTAAAAACTCTTATATTTTATTTCATTATTGTGAATTTTCTACTTTTGGTTTGGACAACGCGTGATTTTTTATTTTTTTATTTCTTTTACCTTTTTTAAAGGTTTTCACGTGATTATTTTTTCATATTTTATTTACGCATATAATTTTTTATCGTTCAAAGAAAGTGAATGATTTTTCACATGAAAAAAATATCATTATCTCTTTTATATATTATTTATGCATATAATTTTTTATCATTCCTAAATTTTATAATAAATTTTTTTTCTTTGACTTATAAATTTTAAATTATATGAAACTTTTTACTAAACAATTTTTTTTATCTATGATGAAAAAAAAATCTTTAAAAAAAAAAGAGAGAAAAAAAGAATGAGAAGAAAAAAAATAGAAGAGAAAGAAGAGAAGTAGAAAGGAAAAAAAAAATCAGGTATAGTATTTTGTCTTTTTATTTTTTTATTTTATTTTATTATGTATAATAATTTTATTAATTAATTTTAATATTCTACTGATAGATTTTTTTTATTCTTATTATATATTTATTTACTAATTTATTTAGTTTCGAGTATAATATTCTAATACTTTATTATTATTGTATATGTATTTTTTAAAATTATCTGTTGTGCTATCTTATTTTCTACTAATTATTTTTTTTATCTCTATTATGTTTGAGTTTAAATTGTAATAGTATATTTATAAAATTTTAATTCGCTTACTTAATTTTTTTATTTGATTTAATTACCGTATTTTTCATCTATAGTTTATTTTTTATATAAATTAATTTTTGGCTATTTTCATACAAAATTTTATTATCAAAATAAATTTTATTATTTTAAATATAAAAATTAAATTAATATAATAAATTCTATAATTACTCGTGCATAGCACGGGTAATAGATTAGTATGTATATACTAGCCTAGCACGAGTAATTATAGAAATTGTGATATTTAATTTTAATTTATATTTAATAATAAATTTTATTTTGACAATAAAACTTTGTATGAAGATAGTCTAAATTAATTTATATAAAAATAAATTATTAATAAAAAAATACGGTAACTAAACCAAATTAAAAATATAAAGTAAGCGAATCAAAGTTTCTTAAATATATATTTCAAATTTAATTTAAACATAATAGAGATGAAAAATAATTATTCATAATCACTCTTAAACTAAAAATCAAACTTAATTTAAAAAAAGTTTGTACTAATCAACGAGAAATAAGAGAAGTTATAAATATTTGTTGTCATTTTATATATTGTTGTTAGCCTGCATTTGAAAACAACGTTAAAACAATATACTAAATAGATGAAATTGCTCGTAACTCCCCATTTGTTTCAAAATTCAGTATAAAAACTCTCTATACTTTAAAAATTGCATAACACTCACTTATACTTCAAACAATGTTGCATAAAACCCCACCACCATAAAACTTCCTTTGTGTTATGAGGAAATGATTTCCTACTATATATGCAACAATTTTTAAAGTATAATGGAGCTTCATGCAATTTTTAAAGTAAATGCGGAGATTTATGCTAAGTTTTTGAAACCATGAATGAGTTTTAAGCAATATTTTTTAAAATATAAAAGGACGTTACCCAATTTTTAAAGTAAAGGGGATTTACGTTGAGTTTCAAAATCACAAAGTAGTTATGAACAATTTTGCCTACTAAATAATATATATAGTAACGAAAAGAAAAACAAACAAATAATATTAAGTAAGTGAATCATAAATCAAATAAAACTTATATATTATTTTAAATTTAAACCTAAGTTAGATTTATAATATTTATTTACAATCTTATTAAATAAAAAATTACAATAAATTTTGAAGTAAACTCATATCAATTGAAGAAAAAAAAATCTATTTTTTTATTGGCCAATTTGAAAAGAAAGTTTAAAAGATAGACCAAAAAAAAAATAACATAATAATAATAATAATAATAATAATAATAATAATAATAATACACTAAAAAAAATAAAAAGCAAATTTGCATAATATTAAATAATGAAAATTATATTTAAAGTGAAATTCAAACATATGTTCGATTAAAAATATTTATTAACAATTTATATTAGACTAAAAATAAAAGATTCCAAATATGATTTCAATTTTTGAAAAAGAAAATGTATTAGAGCAATAATATTTGAAACCAAATTAATTAGAAAAAATACATTTAAAATAAGAATAAAGAATAATTAATTAGTAAAAAATAAAAAATAAATAAAAATTGCATACAAAATAAGAATGAAAGTAATAAAATAAAAATAGATTTTTTATAAATTACTAATCTTTACCCTAATTTTTTGTAAGAGCTTCTCTAATATTCTTTTAAATAAAAATACTTGAAATTTAAATATAATATACAAAATTAGGGGGATAAATATTTTAATATCATATTCAAAATCAAATTAATTAAAAAAATACATATTAAATAAAAATAAATAAAAAAAATTGATTAGTAAAAAATAAAAATAACACAATATATAATTTAAAAATACATATATAATAAGAATGAAAATAATAAAATAAACATAAATTATATATATATTAAAATTTACCATAATTTTTCTCTATGTTTTCTCCAAATAATCTTTCAAATCTAAAGGTTAAATATTTAAATATAATCTACAATATTGAAAACTATAATATAATACTAATATAATAATTAAAATTAAATCAATTAGAAAAAAAAGCAAATGCTCAATGAAAAATATTTGATTAGTTGATAATAAGAATAATACAATAGATAATTTAAAAAACACATATACAATAATAATAAAAAATATTAAAATATTATGGGTAAAATATTTTTTTAGTCCCGTAATTGGACCCTTTTATTATTTCAGTCCCGTAAGTGGAGCCTGTCGCAAACTAGTCCCATAAGTGAAAAGTTTTCGTTGTATTAGTCCTCCGGCGCCAGAGACGCCCGCGTGGCTCGCCGGAGGTGACGTGTCCGCCAAGTGTCCCGCCAGGTCAACGACACCATATTTATTTTATTTTTTTCATTTTTTTTAATTGGACCAAATAAAAAAATACAAATAAAATTAAAAATAAATTAAAAATAAGTTTTTAAAAAATGAAAAAAATAAAAAAAATCCACGTGTCCGCCAGGTCAGCGACACCTGGCGGACACGTCACCTCCGGCGAGCCACGCGGGCGTCTCCGGCGCCGGAGGACTAAAAAAGCGAAAATTTTTCACTTATGGGATTAGTTTGCGACAGGCTCCACTTACGGGACTAAAATGATAAGGGGGTCCAGTTACGGGACTAAAAAAACAGTTTACCCAAATATTATTGGTGACCACAGTGGGAGAAAGACAAAATTGCTGATCCTACGTCAAGAGAGAATTCATACGATTGAGATCCGGCCGAATCATCGGAAGGATCCATATGGCGGGTTCACAACCCCAAGTCTCTTCAACACCGGCGGGAGAAACTATTTCACCACCTGTCATGCCAAATGTAAGGGAAGTCTCCCAAGCACCTGCCGATTGGGTGTCGTATGTTCAACATTTGAACAATCAGCAAACTTTGGCTATGCAGAATATGTTGCGTGAGCAACAAAATCTCATGCAGAACATGTTAGATCAAGCTCTATCAAGGGTTACTCTTCAACCCACCCAGTCACCCTCAGGGATGTCACTATTCAGGTTACAAGCAAATTTCGCAGGGCCTTCATATGTAGACAGTTCCCTTCCAAGTGCTACTACTAGGGTTGATAGAGGAAAAACTCCTCTAACATACCCAAATAATGTTCCATTGACTGTTAGAGCCGAACCAGCCTTCTCTAGGGAAAAGAAGTTGGGGGGACAGGCTCATAATCCCATCCCAGCCTAGCCAGCCTTCTCTAGGGAAGAGAGGTTGGGGGGGACAGGCTCATAATCCATCCCAACCGAGCCAGCCTTCTCTAGGGAAGAGAGGTTGGGGGGACAGACTCATAATCACATTCCTGTTTTCGATCCTATTCCACCCATAGTGTATCCGGAAGACATCACTCAAGTTCTGCGGGTACATTTTGGAATGAATCCTCAAACGGTGAACAGGTTGGCATATCAGAGGCCATTTCCAAAAAGAATCATCAGTGAGTATCCTCTCCCGAGGAATTACAGGCCACCTGATTTCTACTCCTTCTCGGGAGAGGATGGATCATCGACCATTGAGCATGTGGGACGTTTCACAGCTCAACTAGGAGAAGTGGGCAATAATCAGTTTCACAAATTGCAGTTGTTCGGATGGTCGCTCACCAGAACAGCTTTTTCCTGGTTTGCTAATCTTCCACCAGGACAATTGCAAACTTGGGAGGGCTTAGAAGCGGCCTTTCATGCAAGATTTTTTAATCCTCTTCCGATAGTCTCACTCACAGACCTCCTGGAAATCAGGCAAATGCCGGAGGATTCATAGAGCGAATACGACTAATAAAGAGACGTTGCCCGATAATCATTGAGGAGAGTGAGATGACCAATTTGGTGGTTAGGAATATGCATACACGACTGCGGGAGGCTTTAACGGCCCACGATGTTCAAGATCTGACCAGTTTAGCATCCAAGGCGGGGAGGTTAGAATCCCTTTTTAGAGAAAAGGATCACAACTTCCGCCAAATGGCCAGTGTCGATACAAAGATGTATACACCGGACGACGAACAAGGGGAATGTGCTGAAGAAATGGTGGTTGAAATTGTAAACAGCAAGCCCTACGTATGTTTCAAATTGAAGCCCCTTCCAGGGGCAGAAGAGCAGGAACAACCGACGTTTGATGCATCCAAAGCAGATGAAATCTTCGATATTCTACTAGCGGATGGGCCAATTCGTATACCGAAGGGGCAACGGTTGGCAACAAAGGATGAGATAAAGGGAAGGCCATACTGCAAGTGGCATAACTCTTTTACGCATTACACAAACCAGTGTACGCACTTCTGAAAGGAAATCCAGAGGGCAATCAAAGCTGGAAGATTCAAATATGTGACGATGAGAGTGGAGCAGCAGCCTTTCCCAAAAGTAACTACTGCAGCAGTGGTCTCTGTGCGTTCTTCACAGAGCCCACAAAAGGATGATGAATGAGACAACAAACGGAAGGAGTGCAAGCCAAAGGAACAAGAGCTTGACCAGGATGATAAGTTCACAATCTACGAAAATAGGGTGCCTGAGAAGTGAGACAGAAAAGATGGCTCCTTCAAAGTGGAGTTAAAGGACAAAATGGTAGTGCAAGATCGACCAACGCACAGGCCACCACCAGTCCGCCATAAATGGAGGTCGGATCAGAGACTGACGTGGCCTCGGATTATGGAGGTCGAATCTGAGGCTAACCTGGCCTCAGATGATGGAGGTCGAATCTGAGGCTAACCTGGCCTCAGATGATGGAGGTCGGTTGAGGGACAGCCGATGGAGACCCGGAATAGTCCTATAAAAAGGAGAATTTCAAGATTTTGAGTGTGTAAATATGGAAGGGTGAGAGAAGAGTTTTACATAAACCCCACGATGTGACATGAAACAGTGTAATGATAACACTGTACTGCAAACTCCTAAACGTCACGAGAAGTGACGCTTAGGAGTCAGGCGGGAGGAGACAAGTTGTTGAGTAAGAAAAAACCAATGTGCAGGGTTTTCGAGAATGGGCCTAGGGCTGTGGACTAGTGTATAGTTCAATGGGCCTATTAATGGCAGTAAGATCCTAAATGGGTCTGAATATAAGCCAAACGGCCCAAGTGTTATTAAGAAATGGGTTTTTTCGGGAGAAACCTGTGATTAGGATATCAGTGAATACAGAGGTCGGACAAAAGGAAGACGGGCGAAGAAAGATGAGGGCCGATACGGAAGTCGGGCAAAAGGAAGCGGACGAAGAAAAATGAGATGACCGATACGGAGGTCGAACAAAAAGAAGTCGGGGGAAGAAAGATACGATGACAGACACGGAGGTCGGACAAAAGAAAGTCGGGGGGAGAAATATGAGACGGCCGATACGGAGGTCGGTCAAAAGGAGATCGGGCGAAGAGAGATGAGATTGGCAGACACAGAGGTCGGACAAGTGGAAGGCGGACAAGAGGAGACGTAGCAGCAGGTGTGCCAGTCGGACAAAAAGCAGTTATAAGACGGTTAAGTGAAGTTACAACAGGTGAGCAGATCGGACAAGTGGAAGGCGGGTAAGAGGAGACGTAGCAGCAGGTGTGCCGGTCGGACGAAAAACAGTTCTAAGACGGTTGAGAGAAGTTACAACCGGCGAGCGGATACGAAGGCACGACCTGGTTGTGGCGGTTGACATAGGTTTTAAATAGGTCTGTTCATGACCTAAAGAAACTATCTTCAATCGACATCAAATTCAGTGAATTGCTTTTGGGGATCAACATTTACTTTTTCAGTCTGTAGTATTTATTTTCCTAGTTTTTCGTACGGTGTCTAGGGATTCTTAAATCTCAGGCATTTTATTTTATCAAATTCAAAGATAATTTTTATTTTTGGGTTTTACTTTTTATTGTTGAAAATCGACATCAACAATTATACTCAAAAGTAAATGAATTATTAAAATACATACATAATAAGAATGAAAAAGAATCGATTAGTAGAATAAAATAAACAAAATACTATATCCGATTGCTTTTTTTTTTTTTTTATTTCTACTTCTCTTCTTTCTCTTCTATTTTTTTTCTTTCTCATTCTTTTTTTTCTTACTTTTTTTTTATATTTCTTTGTGCATCATAATATGAATAAAAAAAATTAATTAATAAAAATTTTCGTATAATCAAATTTAAAATTTATAAGTCAAAATAAAAAAATTACTATAAGAATTTCACTATATAAGAAAGGTTATGAAATTATATGCTTAAATAATATATAAAAGAAATAATGATATTTTTTCATATGAAAAATTTTCATTCCTTTTAAATAATAACAAATTATATGCATAAATAAAATATGAAAAAAATAAGACAATGTTTCACCTAGAAAATCTTTCAAGCTTTAAAAAAAAAATAATCATGCATTATCCCTAACAAAATAGAAAATTCACTATAATCAAATCAAATATAAGAGTTTTTCAAAAATGCATATAAATACGTTCAATCATTATTTAATCAACCAACAAAAACTAAAAATTTAAAAAAAAATCAAGATAAAAAAAAAACTAAAAATCTAACATCCAATAAAAAAATCTCACCGTTTGATTAAAAACGCAACGAATTACAAATACTTCTTGAAAATTTCATATTGATCCAACGGTTAACGAAGCAGGGATCGCCGTTTTATTCTACTGGCTAAAAATTTTATAATAATTTTTGTTGTGACGATTTTGGCTTAATCTCTCACGAGTACATATAGATATATGAAACCCTAATTTTATCTATATTTTTTTGTTATTTAGTATCTCAATAAATTTGGATTTTGTTAGATTATTTGTTATTCTAATAAATTTTAATTAATTATCCAAACTTATTATCTAAAAAATAAAAAAACTCCAAAACTATGAGAGTGCACGAATTAAAGTGTCTTGTCAAATCATATCATATCATCATATATTTATATATATATATATATAGCACAAGACACTTCAATTGGTGCACTCTCATAATTTTGCAATTTTTTTTTTAATTTTTAAATAATTTTAGTTTTTCTTTGGAATTATTTGTAAATTATTTTTCTAAAATTTAAAAAATTACTAAGCACATGAATATAATTAAAGATTTCACATATGTTCCAATGAATAATAGCAAAATCATCAAATAATATCTTATAAATCTTTTTAAATCATAACTAATCAAATCAATTTACCAATCACATTTTATATAATTATTTAATTTTATAAATATATATATGATGTCCATATCTGTATTTATATATATAATTATCCTAACCTCTTTTCCGTATATTTTTATTATTAAGATTCAATCATTATATATATAATTACATATACATATATTTTATTAATATTCATTATAATTTTCAATTTCGCGTCTCATTGCATTGTCTTCAACCTCAAGCGTTAGCTAACTTAGAAGGGGAAATTCGAGGAGAGATTCAACATCATAAATTTGTGAGACTACAAAAGGTTAAAAGAGTAAGAAGATATGTGAATACAAAATAATTATGTCAAATTTATGGAAAATCGTAGAAATTATGATTTTTTATTTTTTATTTTTTATTTTTGAATTCATGTACTTTTGAAACTAGATAAATATGTTTCTTATTTATTTATTTTGTATGTAGATGAATAATGTGCAAGCGGAACAAAAAATTGCTCGATTAAGACGGAGAAAACAACTTCGTTTGAATGATAGATCAAATCAGAACTTGGATTTGATAATTAATGATATTGATGCAGAGTATCAAAAACTTAATGGACTTTCGAGTCAACCTCCTATTTATCCAACTACACAACGATAAGAAGATATACTCGATGAAATAGAAATAGACAAATAGACTGTACGTATGTTTCAAAAATATATAAATATTTGATTATATATATTTTAAATAAATTTATTTTTATTGATTAGAGAATGAAAATTCGTCCATAAATATTCTTTTGCCAAATTCATCACCACCAATTGAAGGTAAGTAATTTAATTAATTTTATTATTGTTGTTGTTGTAACAAAAATCTTAATCACCGTCCTCCCCCATTTTTTATTCCCTCAACCCTCCACCCTCCACTTTCTTCTCTCACAAAATCCACACCGCCGTCTCTCATTCCCTTATTTTTTTATTTTTTTCTCTTTATTTAGTTTTTATTTTATTTTATTTTATTTGTGTCTATTATTATTTCAATTATAATATATATTTTTTTCAATAGCACGGCCGTCTCTCTTCCAAAGAAGAAGTCCTCCACCACATCTAGCTGAAATACCTGGTGAATTTTTATTTTATTTATCTTTCTCTATTATTATTTTAATTATAATATATTCATCAAATTATAATTAAAATATATTAATTTATATTCAGAAAATAATCCAAAATTTTCAAGAAGTGTTTGTAATTCGTTGCGTTTTCAAATGGTGGGATTATTGATTGGATATATTGGATATATGTAGTTCGACCCGAAATTTACAGAATGTGACAAAAAGTTTAGGTTTGTTTTCTTGATCTTTTATTTTTCCAAAAGATGTAGTTTTCGTTGGTTGATTTAATGATGATTGAGCATGTTTATTTACACATATAATTTGTTATCATTTAAAGGTAGTGAAAGATTTTTCATATGAAAAAATATCATTATCTCTTTTATATACTATTATTTATGCATATAATTTACTAATTCATTTTTTTATTCATACTATGATGCAAAAAAAGTTGAAAAAAAGTAGAAAGAAAAAAAAAAGAATGAGAAAAAAAAAATATAAGAGAAACTAGAGAAGTAGAAAGATTATTTATTATATTTTATTATATGTAATAATATTATTAAATTTATTTTAATTTTCTACTAATCAATTTTTTTTATTCTTATTATATTTATTTAGTTTCGAGTATAATGTTCTAAATAATTCATTGTTATTGTATATGTATTTTTAAAATTTTATATTGTATTATTCTTGTTTTCTACTAATATAAAATATTTTTCATTCTTATTATTTATGTATTTATTATTTTATTTAGTTTCTAAGTATAATGTTCTAATATTCCATTATTGTTGTATATGGATTTTTTAAAATTATCTGTTGTGTTATCCTTATTTTCTACTAATAAAATATTTTTCATTCTTATTGAGTATTTGTTTTTTCTAATTGATTTGATTTCAATTATTATATTATAGTATATTTTTCAATATTTAGGTTATGTTTAAATTTGTAATTTTTTTATTTGAAAGAATATTTATAGAAATCATAAAGAAAATTATGGTAAATTTAAATATATATATATATAAATATTTTTAGTTATTACTTTTATTCTTATTATCTATGTATTTTTTAATTATACATTGTGTTATTTTTATTTGTTACT